CCCCAAAACCCCAAAACCCCAAAACCCCAAAACCCCAATGTCTGGTATAACTATTGGATGCACTTTTTCGGTGAAATTTTTAATGAACCCTTTGGTGAAAATTGACTCGGCCTTTCTGGACCTTGTAGATCGCATCAGTTTATTAGAAGACCTAAGCTTGAAAGCTAGAAGGCTTCATTAGCTCTGTTTTTATGATTATGAGTTATAAAATTAACTACTTTGTAACATTTCTTAACCACTTCTTCTTGCTTGAAGATAGCAGAGAAGAGTATCCCAGAATGAAAATTAAGAGTGCATAGATTGCTGACAAAAGTTGACTTAAAGACAAGATGGATTTTATTTTAAAATTAGTGGTTAGAATCTCCAAATCCTCTCAAGTCTTTGGTGCTATTGATTTGCGGTAGCTTCTTACACTCAACATCAAGACCATTTGGGTCTAACTCTCTGATATCTTTTAGAGATTTCTTGGCTTTCTTCTTAGTCTACAGAAATTAGGGCAAACTTACTGTTTTGAGGCAGCTACTTAGATCCTGATTGGGGGTATCAAGTGTCTTGATCATACTGTTCTGGAATGGGACTGTATCTGTGTCACTACCCTCATTCAATGCGAGATTATAGTCCTTTCTGAAACTATTGTCAGGTGATAGAATCTCGTGGTTGTAAGATTGGAGTAACTTGGAATAACCTTTCCCTAAATGCAGCATTTTTGTGTTCCTTGTATGCGTCTTCTGGGGAAGATTCTTCCACTGGGAGTAGTTCTGCTGAATCTTGTCCAGCTGAGGTAAGGTTTTATCACAGTTCATACATTTTGTTTGCATGTTTTGCTTTTTGGATAATATGGCAGAGGAATCAAAATCTGGATCAGGAGATATAGCACGCCGTGTTAGCTGGACAGACATTCTATCTTGTAAGCGCTGAATATTTTCTCTCATTGCCTCCTTATGTTTTCTTATCTCTTTTTCATAAATATTTAATCTTTCATCAAACTTAGTCTCTACTTCAAATAAATCAGTAGCATTAGCTTTAGACTTGAGCTCTTTTTCAGTAATTTGGTACAATTTATCAAAGACTTCCTTTCTCATTTGTTTAAAATCATTCACTAATTTCTCTGCTATCTGTAATGCCTCCAGCAGTTGACTCTTATCAACTCTGCCTCTCTTGTTCCCTAACCCTGTATCAATAGTCTTGGCCTTAATATCCTCATTCTCAAGCGAATCCACTCTAATCTCCAGTGCTGTGACCCTAGTCAGTAGACTTATCAAAGATTGGTCTTGTCTCTCCAGTATATTTCATCACGATATCTTAAATTTTTGGAACTCACTCAAATTAGAGTCAATCTTCTTATGAGCCGCCTTCTTAATATCCTCTATTTTCCGGTCAAGGTCGTTCAGAGACTTCTTAGTCTCTATCTTGTCGGCATTATTATTGATAATGATCCTACTTGGCTTAGATAAGGCAGTTTCTTTTTCTTGTGGAGAGGTGATCTTGTAGTTGATCACTTGAGGCTTTTCAATAGGTGAAGGAAGGCGAGATCGGGATGATTTCTGAGCAGAATGTGTGGATTCGGGTTTCTGAGATTCTATAGAAGTGTAAGTATGCATGAAAGTCATAGGAAAATATACTATACTTCTGAGACAAGGCAAGACAGAAGAAGATAGGTATTAAGTAATTAGGGAGATTATATGACTCCAATCTGAACTCTATTATAAATTCCTTGGATCTAAAACCATTTCTTGTTGAACTTAGAACAAATTTATCCCAAACCTTCAATCATCTTCATAAGAAATCCTCTATACCAAGAAATGTCTAAACCCTCTCTCCTAATATCTCCCCATCCCTATTACTCTACAGATAGTCTTCCATCCTACACATAACAAGAATACAGTAATCCCCTCACCCTCTCAGACATAATTCTCCCCAACAAATATCCTCATCCTCCATTAGCCACATAAAGTTTCTGGCTTAATTTTAGAGAATCCCTTAACAATTTAGATAATTTAGCCTAAAATATTACCTTGTAGTGAAGCCACCTGGGAGGTGAGGTCATGCAGTTGAGCTGAGAGTTCTTTGGTAGTAGGCTGAGTCAAGGATTTTAGGGATTTTGATTGTTTAGAGTAGCTGGATTGAAGATTTTCGATATCTTTGTGGTGGTTTTGTGATGTTGTTAGGAGCTCTTGGATCCTTCTCTCGATGTTTTTGAGGTGGGCTTTTAGGGCTGATGTTTCGAGGATGGCGTCTTCGATGGCTTCGTTGGATTGTCCTTTTGTGGTAGGTGCATTTTTGGTGTTTTTAGGTTTACCAAACTTTTGCCAAAGCAAGGATACCCTTTCTCTGATTTTATTCATTTCAGCTTCATATTCCAAAGTATCAAGCTTAGATTCAAGTTTATTTTCAAGCTCCTGCAAAGTTATCTTGTTCTTTTCTTCAAGATCCTCCAATCTTCCATTATGATTCTTAATATTTATGGTGGACATCTTAATTTGTCTCACCATTTCATCCGTAAGCTGGGGTTTGCTTGCTTCTTCATAATCTTTGGCATTCTTTTGTTTTTGCTTAAGTTCCTCGAGTAACTTATTTAACTTATTGATGTCTTCTGCACCTTTCTCCATCTGGCCCTGAAGGTTCATAACTTTCTTATCATTTGCTGAAATTTCAGCAGTTTCAGCTTCATTTTGTATGGTTGATTCATCTTGGATGTCAAGTTGTTCACAATGGTCTACATTTGATTTACACTCATTGTCATCCCTGAAAACCTAGGAGCTAGTTAAGGTGATTCATACCTCAATATCTTTATTCATTTCTGGAATTCTTTTTGTACTCTTCTCTTGATGGGACTCATTTGTTACTTGCTTCTTACTTCCTTGCTTCGAGTTGGAAACTGACGACTTATTACTTATTCTTTCGACCCTTTTCTTTTCTTCTCTGAACTGTGAGATCGCAATAAAGCCCTTCGCATGGTCTTTATAATTGTCTACCTTTTTTTGAGTTTCAAGTAGCTTCTTCTGAGTCTCACTGTAAAGTTCTTCAAGTTTCTTGGAATCATCAACTGTGTGAAGTGCAGTACTGACCTTCTTGTTGAGTTCTTGGGTGGTGTCTGCCACATCGTAAAATCCTCTATCGATCTCATCATACCTCTCTGTAAGGATAATTCTTTAGTAGCTTACCGATGACTGTGCCAACCTTTGATTCAATGAAGACAAACTTTTCTTCATATTCAGCAAGGGTGCTTTTGATCTGTCTGTTCTCTGCAACAAGATCATCAATTCTACTCTTCGCTACCTTTTGGGAAAATATGAGACTGTTTAAAACCTCTTTCAGAGGCTCGAAGTTGAAATTTAGAGCAAACATGTTATCATCTATTTTGGAGGCAGGGTCTCCTCCAAAAATTGCGTTATAACAATTGTCGCTTTGATTCTGAGGCTTCGACCCCAATTTATAATCAGGCCGGGCTACTGCTGCCATTATATTTTATTACAATTATTCATTTATTATCGCTGCTATAGGGGTTTTGGGGTTTTGGGGTTTTGGGGTTTTGGGG